AACGATATTGCAATGTTGCATCTCCAATCAATAATACGCAGAGTAAAATTTGATGTTTTACCTGGTCCCAGACAATTAAGCTCGTAAGTGGTTGTTCGAGGATGTTCAGATGGCCAACACATGTCGTTTGGATTCGCTGACGTTTCCTTTGTGGACTTCTGGCGCATATCGCATCTGCGAAAAATAAAAATAACATATCAAACGCCCAAAATTCGGCATGGGTAACTAGAGTTTGACTAGAGTGCCTGCAGAGCATTCATCTAATCTCAACAGTTTTCTTTATTTAGATTTTTGCACCCCCAGCCCGGAGCGGTGTTTATGTTTTTTATGAGGAAAACAGCAGCTTTCGCTCGTTTGGGACGCTGCGGAGGAAATATGTTTTAACCTTTGAGGCGGTGTGTGGGGGGGCTTTTTTTGCCCCCCCCCCCCTTTAGTTTTTTCGATATATCTCCCAAACCGCTGCGCCGATCGTCACCAAACTTTCAGTACCCTCCCGTGAATAGCTATTGCACATTGTTACCAAAATTTTCCAAAGGCTATGATAGGTTGGTCGCTAGTGACGTCAGAGTGACGTCATTTCTGCCATTTTCGACCCAAAAAAGGGTTTCGCGGGAAGAGCTGTCAGGCCTACAGCTTTAGAGATACAGAAAAATGTTTCAAGCAGTTTTAGTATCATATGACCTTTCCTCGTAAAATATAACTTAGCAAAAAGGATAAATTGATATTGATATTAATATCAATATATCCTTTTTGCTAAGTTATATTTTACGAGGAAAGGTCATATGATACTAAAACTGCTTTTACTAATGTTCCTCGCACAAGCGCTCAACAACAGAAAAATGTTTCAATCAGTGGCGCAGCCAGGATTTCGTTTCGGGGGGGTCATCGCCTCCAAAGCGGGCCCCCTAGTGTGCGGGCCCCCCACCCATTTTTCAGAATCTTTCCATATTTCATACGCATTCTGCTGAGCGGGCCCCTTTACCTGCATGATAACCGTGAGCGAGTTTGAATCGGAAAATTTTGATAGAACAATAGCTCGGTAATCACCCGGTGTTCAATTTCCACGTGAATTGACCATGACAGAAATATGTTACTATGACGTATGAATTCGTATCTTTCGAGGCCGAAATGTGCCCCTTCCGCAATATGCCAGGCTAGTTTTTGGAGCTGAATCCGAATTTAGCAACCATTTGAACATTTACGAAGTAGTTTTGGTGCCTTCGTATAACATGTTACGAAGCTGCCAGAGGCGGCTGGCACGTAGGTACTACAAATACCCGGCAGGACCCCTACTGGTTGACCTGACCTGACCTGACCCGACCTGGCTTAAATGCATAAAGACCTCATCTGTTATCAAAACTAACATGATAACTATTCATGATCAGTACCCCGAAAAACCCTATAGCAGCCACAATTAACGACGTTCTAACAGGTCCCGATTTTCCCGATTTTTCGGTCATTGACCTGACCTGGAAGGTCAACCAATGACCAAGAACCTTAAAATTGGGTATCGTCGGCTTCCTCTCGTCACGGGGAACACGCTCGTATTTCCCGCGAAGCTCTAGCTCGATCATGGGCCAAACACGAAGGGGTCGTATCCCCCCCCCCCTCTTGTGCCGTCGAAGGACGCAAAATGGCCGGAATGGCCTGTGCCGGCGAGGGTTAACGCGCTCATATGGGACATGTATTGCCATGGGCCGGGTTTGTTGTGGCGTGGTGATGTGGTGACGTAGATTCTGTCTGCTATCGAGGTCCCGGCATGGTGTTACTTAGCGCGGGGTACGGGCCCGACCGTTGCGCCAAGTGCGCTGAAATTTGCGCAACTTATAGATTAAGGATGGGCAACGTGCCTTTGAGGGTCTCAGCTCGATCGGATTGATAGCGAGCACATGACGCGTGCTCAAAAAGTGCAAATTCGCGTTATGGACTTTACATGTATGTATAAATCGGCTTGCAAAATCGGGCGAAAATGACTAAATTTGCCAGACACTGGTCCGGTCCCCGTGCAGTATCTCGGTAACCGTGGGCCCAATCGCCACGGGGTATCGTGTAGAGAATCGAAAGGGCTATCGAATGGTGTGCGGTGCAGGGATGGCACGCGCCACGTGCACCCGTCAGGGCACTTTTGCTGGGAAATTTACGTTTCGGACAGATTTGGGATTTAATGCTATTTTCGGGTGACTGTTTGACGGAGCGGGTTCAAACAACGCCTGTTGGCAAAAGAAATGTACCGCCTCTCATGGAAAAATTGTGAAAAGCTAATTGATCAAAAACAAGGTGGAACAAATCGCTGGAGAGAATGGTGTTTGTTAATGACTTACTTAATTACACGGGTTTTACTGCATAACCTGGTACGTTTGACAGTTGAAAATGGCATAGTTGGAAAGACCATTCAATTTTGTCCAAAATCCAATCATCGCTTTTGCATGGCGAGCAACAGTATTCTTAAAAATATAAATGTTGGAAACCTCTACATAGGAATTCATCGATGGCTGTCATTTTTCAATAACCTACGTCAACCGTTGTTATAAACTACACATGACATGTTCTATAGTAGAACGCATGCTTATCAGACACGAGCACCTCGATGCAATGGATATTTTTTCCCAATCCAAAATGCTTAGCCGTCAAAAAGCAATCAACCGAAATGGATACATCACCCACGGACACAAGACCAACCAAACGCCCACCGATCGAAAATACCCCTTATTCGCTTTGAGGAGCAAGCGGGTCACCCTAGCGGGCCCCATTCAACCAGGGGCCCGGGCCCTATCCATACGGGGGCCCGGGCCACGTCCACCTGGGGCTCCGGGCCCCGTCCACCCGGGGCTCCGGGGCCCGTCCACCAGGGGGCCCGGGCCCCATCCATCCGGGGGCCGGGCCCCGTTCTCCCGGGGGCCGGGCCCCATTCACCCGGGGGTCCGACGTCCACCCGGGGCCCGGGGCCCGTTCTACCGGGGGCTCAGACCTATCCACGGGGGTCCCGGGCCCCATCCACCCAGGGGGCCCGGGCCCATTCTCCCAGGGGCCCGGGTCAATTCTCCCGGGGGACCGGGCCCGTTCTCCGGGAGGCCCGGGTCCGTTCTCCAATCTCCCGGGGCCCGGGGCCCGTTCTCCCGGGGGCCCGGGCCCCATCCACCCAGGAGGCCCTGGCCCCATCCACCCAGGGGCCCGGGTCAATTCTCCCGGGGGCCCGGGCCCGTTCTCCCGGGGGCCCGGGCCCCATCCACCCAGGAGGCCCGGGCCCGTTCTCCCAGGGGCCCGGATCAATTCTCCCGGGGGCCCAGGCCCGTTCTCCGGGAGGCCCGGGTCCGTTCTCCAATCTCCCGGGGCCCGGGGCCCGTTCTCCAATCTCCCGGGGCCCGGGGCCCGTTCTCCCGGGGGCCCGGACCCATCAACGGGGGGGGGGGCCGGGCCCCATCCACCCAGGAGGCCAGGGCCCGTTCTCCCAGGGGCCCGGGTCAATTCTCCCGGGGGCCCGTTCTCCGGGAGGCCCGGGTCCGTTCTCCAATCTCCCGGGGCCCGGGGCCCGTTCTCCCGGGGGCCCGGACCCATCAACGGGGGGGGGCCGGCCCCATCCACCCAGGAGGCCCGGGCCCGTTCTCCCAGGGGCCGGGCCCGTTCTCCCGGGGGCCCGGGCCCCGTCCACCTGGGGCCCCAGGCCGACCCCTCACCCGTGGTGTCCCAGTAGGCATTTCTCGAAGCGGGCTCGTCCGATTAGATTAGGGCCTCTCTCCTCCCTCTCTCTCTCTCTCTCTCTCTCTCTCTCTCTCTCTCTCTCTCTCTCTCTCTCTCTCTCTCTCTCTCTCTCTCTCTCTCTCTCTCTCTCTCTCTCTCTCTCTCTCTCTCTCTCTCTCTCCCTCTCTCTCGAGCGGGCCCCTGACAAAAATTTCGGGGGGGGTCAGCTGACCCTCTGACCCCCCCTGGCTGCGCCACTGGTTTCAATATAAAATGTGTAGAATTAAGAGGGCTACAAAACTGCTATCTTGGATGTTTGAAATTTTTCGATTTTGATCCCCAAAAAAATCAAAAAATAGATTTTTTATATAATGGCCGAAAAATCCAAAAAATATTTTGAATTTCTAAAAAAAACGGGAATATATGTGATAGTCCTAACCGCCTTCTATCTACATACCAAATTTGAGATCGATACCTCTTTTTTGGCCAAGTTATAGCGAAAAAACTGTTCAAAATTGATGACGTTAAGTTTTAAAACTCATTTTTAGCAATTCTAGACCTCGTAGCGCAAAACAAAGACCACCATTAGACTCCCCGTGACGAGCTGCATCGAATCAATACCCATTTTATGCCAAACAATCAACTTTGAAATTTGAACGTTTTTACCTGACCTTGACCTGACCTCCACCAGAAAGTGACCTAAACCGTACCTGATGGTCTTATAACCAACACCATTGAGTTGGAAATGAAAAATTGGCCATAAAACATACATCGCACAACCTTAGTAAAGTTGGGTTCATGTGGTGACCCTTCCTTGGTGACCTGACCTGTGACATGACCTGGTATGACCAGTGGCCTCTAATAGCAACATATGTACTAGACAACTGACGCCCTATCGCTGATTTTCGACAAAATGCGTTTTACTCGGTGTTATAGCGCTTTCCCTAGAACACCGTGAACGGTGAAACATTTTATCTTTGACCTGACCTGTGACGTCATCGGTGACCCTGACGTCAATGAAACTTGGTTGTTTTAGACAAATTTGACAGGGCTATCGACTGCCGTTTGAATTTTCCGGATTTGTCCAGTAGTTTCGGAGATACGGGGGGGGGGGCAAAAAAGCCCCCCACCGCGCGGAAGGTGGCCGGGAGGCCCACCGCCTGCCGGACATCACCCTATCACGCATCACCCTTGGGTCCACCATTACAAAGCTTAAAAAGCATCTACTGCTTTCTTAACCCGGCACCGCCTGGGCTATTTGCCTGGGGGGGGGGATCGGATCCGACACCCCCCCCCCCCCTGTTAAGATTTATCCCTGTTATCTCTGAGAACCAATGGTCGTATCGAGCCCTGCGAGGCGGCGTTCGAAAGGTCTCTACGAGACCTTCCCAAAGCACTCTTAAGATTTTAAGATTGAGGTCAACTTTCGGGTCAAGGTCAGGTCAAAGGTCAAATTCTGGGGTTTTGCATGATTAGGCTTACGGACAGCGGAATCGATAGCTGCTGCTCGAAACTCACCAAAAATGACCTCAAAGACCTAGTGAAGGTACCATGTGCGTATAGGGGTCATACTAAGTACGGGTCAAGGTCAGGTCAGGTCACGAAAGGTCACGGTTTTCACTTTTTGCTACATGGGCGTGCGACATATGTTTTATTGATTATTTTTCACGCCGAATCCGATGGTAATGGTTATATGTGACCCCAAGTCACTGTGCTGGTGATAAGTGTGCAATGAAAGCATAAAAATCGTTTATACCTTACATAACTAAACGAGGGCAAAGAAAAAAGTCAATTTTTCAACTTTTTATTTTTGACATAAAAATGCACTTTTCTAGACGAGCTTTGTCCCACAAATCTAGTGGTGCCATTTATTTTCACATGCGATGTTTAGAAGTGCCTCTAATTCAGGAAAATGTTTATGACGTCACCATGCCCTATGTATATTGGAGCTATTTTTTTACAATTTGGGGGTCAAAAATCAAGATAGAAAGTTGAAAGTTGGGACATCTAACGTTCTAATAGAGCTTAACATATATTCCAGTTTTTTGGAAATTCTTAAAATTTTTGATTTTATTAGCTGCTTTAAAAAAAATAGTTTTTTTGAATTTTTGGGGTTAAAAACGCATTTTATAGAAAATCCGAGATAGCCATTTTAAAGAACTCGTGGAGGTGCGTCTATTCATGTCCTTAATATGCAGTTTGCTTTAAACCTTGATTTTTGGCGATTTTTTAAACATTTACCACTTTTTGACTGAAAACGCCATATAGTTACATCACTAAAATCGATATATCTATAAAACAATTGGAAAATTTTTCTTAAAAATTGCACAGGAGACGTCAAATTGATGGGGGAGAAGGCATGCCAAGTTTCAAGTTGACAGCGTAAGCGGTTCATGAGTTATTCAAGAAAAACGGAGGGGGGTTGGATCCGACTCCCCCCCCAGGCGGTCGCGGGTTAACCCGGCCGGGCCCGGGGGGTAATCCCAACCATCGCAGCCTGGGGGGTGTTTCGCCCCCCCCCGTCTAACTCCGTAAATAAGGGAGCTACGGAAACAAAAGCGATACCAAACGAAAGGTCCTTACAAGACGACTCTAAAGCACCTAACATTTTTGACCTCAGGTCAATTTTCAAGGTCAGAGGTCAAGGTCAAAGGCAAAAACCGGCACATGTGTAGTGATCTCAAAGTGAGCGTTCTAGAGGACGGAAGGATGCATAAAACCGGCAAAATTGGGTGTCAAACAAAAAAAGAGAGTCCGAGGATTCCGAAAATGTGCTCAAAATTAAAGGTCAAAGTCACGATCATGCTCAAAATTAACCTCAAACTTTGCACTTTTACGTACATCTTGCGTTCTAATTTCCAAGATGTTTTGAAATGTTTTGAGGCTTATCAGGTCCCTATTTGTGGTTCATCTTACGATACAAGGCTGCTCAAAGGTCAAGGTCACAGAAGAGTATCCTTGATAGAGGCTATTTCACTGATTCAAGTTAGTAATAATAAGACAATTTTGCCATCCGGAGCCTCTAAATGAAGGATAAGAGGAAAATAGATGCCAGATTCGTGATCAGCGGGTACGAATATATCATAAACGATCTTTAATATGTCAAGGTCAGACAAAGGTCATTCGAAGTCACATGAGGTCAACATAAAGCTTGACCTTTTCCTAACAAAATATATATCATTCGACGCGGCTTGACAAGGCAAATGCGATGGTACCACTGCCGTACCTCTAGGTCCATTTATGTCGAAGTTTTTTTGCGAACAACTAAAACCACATTTCGGGGTCGTTGACCTGACCTCTGACCTCAGGTCACCAAAAATATTTTTCTATTTTTCTCTGGGTCAAACGCTACACAACCGTGCCCGTAATTTGTATTTATCTCAAAAACTCTATTTTTAGCAGCTATTTGAAGTTAGCGTCTGTGACGCCGAAGTTTGCCGTGTAGGGGTCTAGAAAAATCGACCCTGTGACGTCATCAAGGGGGCTAGGTCCAAGTTTTTACTTCAGAAGATGTCAAATTGATGGGAGAAAATGTACTGAAAGTTTCGTTTTCCTATCCCTCGGGAGCTATCGCAAATATTCGCCAGGGGGGGGGGGCGAAAAACGCCCCCCCGGGCCCGCGAGGGTAAATGCCTATATATTTGTTTCCTCTTGTATATTTTGAAGCCACACGAATTCCTCATAATTGTAACGTCCACTGAACGAATTAACGATCCTGAATCATGGAAAAGCGCGTTTGGCGCGTTCTGTCCTTACAGTCAACAATTCTGGCGTATTGTAATAAAAGCTATTTATTAGTCTATGATTCTGATATATCCCAACTGGATCTGCCTGAGGCTCTGATTTACACAATAATAACTTGTGTAATAAATCCAGCGTGAAAGGCAGCGTCTCCTATTGCATTTTCCAGAAAAAAACCTGAGAAATGACGTTCCATCGCTCAAGCATATGACTCCTGACGGGGATGGCCCGCGTCCGGTGGGAGCAGCCGCAGCCAGTCCATCCTGTTGCGGGAGCCAATCACACTCTAACTCGGTGCTTCACTATATTATCGGCCGAGGCCAACACAAGAGCAACGGCGCTCACCGCTCGTCACCGCAGCCCGTCCGCTTCTCCCGGGCCGCCGCGCCGGCCGCCCAGCCAGGGCCAGCCGCTGACCCCGCCCCAGGGCCACGCGGCAGGGGCGGCGCCGGGCGCGGCCAGTCAGGGAGGCGCCACGGGCGGCGCCAGGCACGCCACAACGGGCGGTCACAGCCGCCCGTAACAATCCCACCTTAACATTACTTTTGAGTTGAGATAGCCATATTGGGGTCCCTGGCTTGCACTTACCGGTTTGGGCACTTACAACATCGAGAACTGCTTTAATTCGGAGATATTTGATTTCAAACTTGCAGTTTTCAGATTCTAAGGGGCTAATGCATTTGAATGCCCCCTTAGAATTTGTGACGTCAGCGCAGATCTAACGATTTTTAAATATAATACCAAAACCATCGGTAAAAGCGTGGTGGTATGTGCTGCTTTGCGCGCATTATCTGCCGTGCACTTCAGGGATGCCAAATGATTGCTTCCAAACGACGTCGTAGGAACAGCGGAGATCCCAAAAAGTAAACAGTTAAAATCTACATACTATCTTGAAAGCCAGTGAATATTTTTCGATGAAATTTGGTAGATCTTCATTTTTGATCTTTCTGAACCACGGGACATCACCTTAATGCGAATTCATTAGTTTTTTTAAGGTCAGGTCCCTTTAAATGCAATTGCGTGGAGTTGTCCGACTTTGATAAACTGACATCCTAATTGTCCCGTCACATGGGGTTGCCTTTCGGATGGCGGAAGTCGGTGCATGCGGGACGAGCTCGGCTTACCGTGGTATCCGACTCTGTTAATTCGTCCGTTTTTTCATGTTTATTATAGTTTATTTGAAAAATGACAAAGATGTGTCTCAGTTTTACCTGCCACTGTCGTAGTTGAAACCAAAGAGATCACAGGAGGCTCTTCTCAAGCATTTCTTTGCACAGGTCTCAATGGAGTCAGTTGTCTGAGACTGAAAAGGAAATAAAAAAGTGAGCGTTTTAAAATCTGGTTAGGTGTGTAATAAAAAAATAACCAGAACTCGGACATTTCACGGACTACGAGCCAGACACTGTTGGCCGCTGGTCGCCCCATCGACTCACCGTCTTTACGTCGTTGATGACGCCGAAGTAGGGAACCCAGGTGGGCGCGCACACCTCGAACGTCTCGAAGCTGACGAGATCGAACGCCACGTCGCCCGTGTTGCCATCCAGGCCGGTGATTTCGATCTGCGCCACCGTCAAAGGGCTAGTAAAGTGTTCATCCCGTGCGTCCTTTGATACGTTACTGGTGTCTTTGAACATGTATGTACATTGTAATGCTTATATATAGATATATTTGAGGCGCACTTATGACATCTTTGAATGCTTATTGCTTACATATGTGATGTCAAGTTGTTGTAGGACTAGGTATGTATCAACCAGCGATCAGGTAGGGTTGCACTTACCCTATGCAAGTCAAATACCTACATGCTTCGTTACAGCTAGAGGAGCGTATGTACTGTGTATGTGTCATGTGTACATACAGTACCTACGCATACAGCACCTGGTAGGGCTCGGCAGACACCGGAATGCGGACAGCAGCGTACTTCCAGTGCGCCACCGAAGGACATTGGTGGCAGAGCCTTGAGACGGCTGCTGCCACGTTACAGCTCGTTCTTGAGTCGCACGATGCGCTCGACTAGAAAGATATAAAATGTGTTATTTGCTTGCCTTTTTGATCAGCTATTAATGACGAAAATACCGAACAGAGACTACAAGATACCATTTCTGAACTCAAATATCGTAGCACAGAGGAAATCATTGAAAATCAAAGTACGCTTTCCTTTCGCCCAACGACAAAGCCGCCCCTCGGGCAAAGCCATGCACGACTTTGTCGCTTATCAAGTCGATCGTTTGTGAATCGCTCGCCGCTGTGCTTGCCTCGACAGCGGGTCGGACTGGCGGCAGTATTTTTTGCTGGTCCTCCACCTTCCAGATGGTTCTCCTTGTGCCGCTGCCGGGGTAGAAGAGGTCGATGCGCAGCTCGGCGTCCCGGGGGGTGGCATCGGTCGCCGACGGGTCGTATGCTGTCAAATGGAGATGGCTCAGGAGAACTGCACAGTGCTGGCTACCAGTAGGGATGCGGACCGCGGAATGCATTTTAAGCATTTGGTGAGCATCTGGACATTTTTGTAATCTTAGACATTTTGGGCAGCTCCGGCTACGGTAAAGGCCATTGCATTAGTTAACCCTCGCCGGACCTATTGGTTTTCTACATACATTTACATACATTTACATACATTTCTAGGGGGGGTGGGTTGGTACGATCCCCCTCGCCGTTACACCCCTGATGGAGCTAGAGCGTCGCGGAAAAACAAGCGTGTATGCCGTTACGAGACGCTGAAACTGGTACCCGATTTTAAGGTCTCAGGTCAACCGGTGACCTCTGAGGTCAGGTCAAGTGGCCCAAGGTTCTGGTTCGGTATTTGGTAAATACCTTCGCCAAAAAAGGCCATAGAGCCACGATTTTGGCGCCACGGTGTTCGCCTCGCTCAGGCGCTTATGGTTTACTTTTTGTTTGGGTGAGGTCAACTTGAGGTGTTGACCTCGGGTCACGGTCAGTTCAGAGCCCCCAGGTCACGAAGTTGGTCGGAGGAGGTCATGTCGCATATCATTCGATTTGACAGGTCTTTCCGAGTCCATTGGCGGCTTTTCCGACTCGCAAGCTCAATTTGATCAGGAGTTATTGACAAAAACTCTTATGGCCTTAGTGACGTCACGCAAAGTCAGCAATGCAAAAGTGAAACATAGAAACTTGCAAGGAGTCCATGAAACCACAATTCTGTGTTTGAGATAGTTTGATATCGTTCCCGGCGCCAAAATAGCAGTTTTCATTTTCCCCATTGACTTATAACGGTGAGGTCACGCGACCGACCTGACCTCATGTGACCTTAAAAAAAGAAAATCCGAGATATGCAAGTTGTGAGACCTCTGGAGGATACTAGGTCCTGTAAGTTTAATCTCCCTGTGAAAGCTCCTCTGGCACTGAGGGCGTTGCGAAGTTGCGACATCTGAAGACCGTGCAGAGGTTCACTTATGGCGTCATAGGTCAGTGACCTGACTTGACACGAAAATAGGTTAGGGTCAAAAGATCCGGCTTGAGCCAAAGGTCACGTATGCCAAGTTTCAGCTCTTTATCGCCAGTTTTTCGGAGCTATCGCGAAAAAAACCTATGGGGGCGGGCACCCCCCCCCCTTCGGACGGCAAGGGTTAACCCTCGCCGGCACAGGTCATTTTGAGTCCTTCGACGGCACAAGGGGGGGGGGGGTTGGTACGACCCCCCCCTCGCGTTTGGCCCCTGATTGAGCTAGAGCTTCGCGGAAAAAACGAGCGTGTTGCCCGTCACGAGAGGAAGCCGATGATACCCAATTTTAAGGTCCTAGGTCATCGGGTGACCTTCCAGGTCAGGTCAATGACCCGAAAACCGGGAAAATCGGGACCTGTTAGAAAGTCGTAAAGTGTGGCTGCTATGTGGTTTTCCGGGGTGCTGATCACGAATATCGTGTTAGTTTTGATCAGAGATGATGTCTTTAAGCATTTAGACCAGGTCAGGTCAGGTCAGGTCAGGTCAGGTCAACCGGTAGGGGTTGTGACGGGTATTCGTAATACGTGTCAACCGCCTCGGATAGCTTCGTAACATGCTACGAAGGCACCAAAACTACTTCGTAAATGTTCAAATGGTTGCTAAATTCGAATTCAGCTCCAAAAACTAGCCTAGAAACATGTAAAACTCGAAAAAGTGAACCGGGGTCACCCGAGGTCACCAAAGGTCAATGACCTGACCTGACCTTCAGGTGACCTTGACACCCACCCTAATGCATGGGAGCAACATCAAATCACATGTTTGAACGTTTGAAACCACGAAAAGCTTGCAAACGCGCGGCTAATGCGAGCCGACATGCGCCGAACCGCGATTTCGGCCAAACATGGTCACAGAAAAGAGGTCACAGGTCAAAGGTCATTGGGGTCAGAGTCATGAAATTTTCAGGGTAGGTGTAAAATTGATCAATGCGAGGGTACGGAAAGTTTCGTCGCGATCGGCCGCTTTTTACGCGAATTATTCGCGAAAAACCTTAGAGGGGGTTGCATCAACCCCCCCCCCTGTGCCGGCGAGGGTTAAAACATACGGGAACTATGACCAAGAAAATAACTTGTTCCCATTATAGCAGGTAGATATCGTAAAAAGCATCTACGAGCTACAGACAGGCAAGGAAGCGCAACTTGACAATAATACGTACCGCAGAAGTAAAACAGCTTCACCACAGCGGCGTTCCATATCGGCTGCTTGCCTCGCAACGTGGCGATTTTGCGCTCGTTGGGACCAATGGTGCCGTAAGGAAAGTAATTCCGCATGTGAAATACGTAATCTGAAATTCAATAATCGTCAGCGTTGGTTATGAACTTTGTAATAAAATAGCCACGTTAGTATGGCCTTCGCCGGTTGTTCATTTATAACACAGTTGCGAGTTTTGTATGGTGTAACATCCTGACCAATGACTTGTCCTTGTGTTTTTCCTATATCTGTCTATCAGGAGTAATTTGCAACAATCCCCTGGTTTCTTGCATTTTCATTCAATTACCACCAGCACCATCCCTGATTTGCTGTCTGGTGAATAAGTAACTATGTATATAGCAACTTTATTCCGTCTCCTAGTGCCACAACAAGTAAACAACTTTAAATTCCAATAAAAGTGAAGTTTTAAGCAATGACACAGTCAGCTAATGTAGAATGACGCTAATAACTCAAGTTTATTGTAAAAGACAAAGCATCCGATACATACATACAGGATCTTGATCACTGTCAATGAGATGAAGAAGTTATTTGTACTGTCAGCTAAATTATTTCCCATATTGACAAAGATCACACCACAAAAAGACAGCAGTGTGCAATGTGATCGTAAAACGTAGTCTCACCGGAATAGTAGACATCCGGATGTGTATACAATATCGGCGTCGCCCACAGGTGATCCGGTTCGCTATTTGTTCCGCGGTCCCATTGTCCTGCTACGATGTTGTTTGCAGCATCATCAGCTGAAACACACACGAAAACACAAAACATGCATGCATAATGTATGCATGTGTGCATGCATGTATTCTAGTTATGCATATGTTTGTAGTGCTTGAGAAACATGTCTCAACAAGGTAATTTTCTACAACTAACTGCTGAAGCAAAAAAAAAAACAGTTTTTACTATCGACAGTCATAAATTGAATGTCCCCCAAAAAGTGATGGTCGACCTTTGGGCCCGTCGAACTCCAGCCCCGCATCAGGCGCACCTCGCTAGTCCAACATTTAAATCAATCACGACACATATGATATCTTACTGAGCAATCTTCCTGAGCATATGGAAATTTGTCAAAAAGATTACCTTTTTTGCCGCTATATAGTATAAGTAAACTTTTGTTATTTATGGGCCGATCTGTGTCAAGTGCAGGCATAGAGTAGATTTCAGGGCACGATATGTCTGTTGCATATGGGCATGCTACAGAAAGAAAACGCCCCTCTCCCGCTTCACTAATCGACGAAACCCTGTGGTGCTGTTTGAACACCACCAACCGTTTATCGAACCAGTTTGTGTTTATCCAAAAGTGTTTGGTCGTGACGCTCGGCTGCTTCATCACCTTGTCTCATCCGCCATACATCTTTAGCGGGAAACCTCGCTGACTGGAATTAGGTATATAGTTTAGGCATAGTTTACCATAGGTTACATGTGACCAGGCGTCGGTGTTTATTCCTGTGCTGTCCTGAGCTGACCACTCGTCGTCGTTCAGATTGTACTGTCCATATGCATGGTATGCTCTGTTTCCCGCTCTAGTCTCTGAAAAGAGAAAAAAAACATCAGCGGAGAATTTGGTACCTGGCATCTTAGTCTCTGACTATTGCCTTTCCTCAGGGTAATTTGTAGCTTTCGCTGTTACGATAGCTTAAGCTGTGTGGTATAATGTGGGTGGCGTTAATAATCCAAGTACCCTTATTTCTTTCTGAGATTGATTTTTTTCTCAGATCTCAGATAGATCTCATATATGATTAAATCTGAGCTAAGATCTGAGATTTGATTTGTAATGGCCTACGGTATCTTTGCGAACGCCGATTGGCTATGTAGCCTTGTAGTTTACTCACTATCGAAATCAGAACGAGGTCCGAGTCCACAGGTCCATCCCTGAAAAGAGTAGGTACACACTTTGTCATTGTAATGAAACTTGTGCTAAATTTCGGTAGTTCAAATGTTCTGTAAAAGTGCCAAACAAATGAGTCGTCTTCCTACAAATTGAAAATGAGTTTCACACATACTTGAAGATTGCGAAAGTATATATTTGGAGAGAAAAGTTACTAAGAGGAAGACATTTAGGTATTGACACCTATCTTATCACTCCAAGTTAGGACAAGTGTATTTCTATCAGCGAGAATAGTTAAAAGACCTATACAACGAACTAGCATATGTGTCTATGTATCATACATTGTGCCCAAACACACCATACAATACTGACGGAAAATGTCATGTTTGCGAACTTTAAAGACATAGGTAACTTACCTGGTGTAGGTAGACAAAGGCCAGCGTCAGCTGTATAAGCCAGCGGATATCGTCTCGCTCTTTGGCACCGCCCATGGTCGCCTGTGAAGAGGGCTCATGGTCAATTGATCATGTTTGTTTTAATGAGAGATGGAGAAACTAATGGTCAATTCATGGCCGGCGATGAGCACCTGTAGCCATGACCACGAATGCGTATACTTCGAAAAGCGTATTTTTGCACGGCTTGCTATTAGTCAAGAAAATATGTTAGAAGAAATTACCTTTTGTGGTAGAGGGTGCCCTAATCCTCGCCCCGTGCGACGTAGAAGAGTGGAACTGATGCCTCACCCCCTGCGGTGGACTGGGACTGGTATATGTAGTTCCCTACCTCGGCGGCGGAGGGACGGCCGTAGTGCGGCATAAGGAACTGATACTTTACCTGGGCGGCGGAAAGGATTGCTACTTTTCCTCTGCGGCGGAGGGGACTGAAACCGTACCAATGGGCGGCAGAGGGGACTGCCAGCTTACCTCTGCGGCGAAGGGACTGATACTTTACCTCTGCGGCGGATGTGACGGCCAAAGTGCGGCATAGGAGGGGGGGGACTGATACCTTACCCCTGCGGCGGAGGGGACTGATACCTTACCCCTGCGGCGGAGGAGACTGATACCTTACCCCTGCGGCGGAGGGGACGGCCGAAGTGCGGCATAGGAGGGGGGAGAGAGGAAGGGACTGGTACCTTACCCCTGCGGCGGAGGGGACTGATACCTTACCCCTGCGGCGGAGGAGACTGATACCTTACCCCTGCGGCGGAGGAGACTGATACCTTACCCCTGCGGCGGAGGGGACTGATACCTTACCCCTGCGGCGGAGGGGACGGCCGAAGTGCGGCCCCGCCGGCGGTCAAGTGACCGGTGCCAGCCGGCAATGGGGCCGACACACGACCGACCGATCCTGGGAAAACGACACCTGAGCACGCCGACACTGGTTGCCGGGGCTAGCGGAAAACAAGTAAACAGACCGGGGTAGGGCACCATTGGCTCTGTTTATATGTTTAGGTATGTCTACGTGCGTAGTGCATATGTATGTACCTACTCTGCCTGCTGAGTAAAGCGATGGACTATCACTCGCCAATTGATTCCGGGACAATATGTTGATAAATTCAACCCGCGCCGGTCCGGGGGTGTTTGAACACCCCTTTCCTACGGCTTTTCGCAGATATTTCAAAAATGGCGACGTGGAGCGCCACGATTTTTGACACGCTTGTTCAATGTTCATGTTTTGTTTGTTTCTGCACATGCTGTAAAAATGTTATACCCAGGTTGCTTAACCCGCGCCCCGCTGGGCTATTCAGCCATACGCGCCCTGCTGGGGGGGGGGGGGCAGATTCTGCCCCCCCCCTGTCTAACTTCCGAACCGATGGTCGTAGAAAGACGGGGAAAACGGCAATCGAAAGCTCTCAACAAGGCGGATCTTAAGAGCCCAATTTTTTTTGCTTAAGTAGGTCAGAGGTCAGGTCAAGGTCAGGTCAAGGGTACAAATTGCAAGTTTCTACAGTATCGGCCTTGCACCGTAGTTGCCGAAGAATGGACTAAGACTGATTGCCCAAAAAATGTTCCTAGACTACCAAGACAATATTCGTTGCACAAAATGCCATTCAAAGGTCAAGGTCAAGGTCAGGTCAGGTCAGGTCAGGTCACCAAAAACAAAATATAGAAAAGGGCATGTGCGACACATGTTTTATGGGTCATTTTACTCATGGAATTCAATAGGCACACTCAATAAGTGATATGGACCACCTCTGGATGAATTTCAGGTCGAGGTCAGGTCAAGGTCAGGTCAAGTGAGGTCAAATTTTGAAGTTGGTTGTTAAGGCCTAAAAAGGTGTCTATCCGATGCAGTTTTTCACGGCGAATCGAATGGTGCTATTTTTGTTTCCGTACGAGGTCTAGAACTTCCAAAAAATCATTTCTCAAAATTTTTGTGTGTCGTGACGTCATAAAATTTTGAATAACTCCCACATTTTTGAACCGATTCTTCTAAAAATTGGTATGTAGGTGCACATAGACCACTTCTTTGACATATATTCCGGTTTTTTCGATAAACTCAAAATTTTGGATTTTATAAATATTTTCCCAAAAAAGTCAGTTTTTTTGAAAAATTTTGGCCCAAATCCAAAATTTTCAAAAAACCGAGACAGCCATTTGATAGACAAAGTAGAATCACGTATAACCTTTTTTATTACGTCTTGATTCCTTTAAAAATGAAGATGTTAGCGGCGTTTGAAATTTTGCCGTTTTTGATGCGAAAATGGCGAACATGACGTCATTAAAACGTCAATTTTTCAAAAATTTTCCGACGGATTTCGCTCAAATTTTCAGGGAACGTGTCAAATTGATGTATGATAAGGTACTGAAAGTTTGACGTCACTGGCGTAACGCGTTTAGAAGTTATTGGCGAAAAACGGGAGGGGGGGCAGATTCTGCCCCCCCCCCAGCGGGGCGCGGGTTAACCCTCGCACGACCAGGCCATTTCTCATAACACGAACGACCAGGGGGGGGGGGGTTGTTACGACCCCCCCCCCCTGGCGTTTCGAAACGGAAGGTCGTAGAGCTTAGCGGAAAAAACCAACGGATTGCTCTCAACGAGATCTCGCGATTGGTGGTATATTTTTTGGTCCTAGGTCAACATTTGACCTACTTTTGACCGGTCAAAGGTCAAATTTTCGGAAAAATAGACTTTTTTCAACTTTCGGCGGCGATTGCGGCAAAACGGTGGGAGATATCGACGTGAAACCTTCACTATCGTGTTCCTTGATCAATTCTCTATCGTTTGGTATGTATTTCGTTTCCCTAGCTCTAAAAATGGCGCGTTGGGAGCGCCGGAAGTCGGCAAGGTCACAGTCGGCGGCAGAAATTCGAAAAATCAAAATTTAAATTTTTGAAATCTGATTGTATTTTTGGATTTGGGAGGTCCATTTGCTCCCTATAGAAGCTAATATCCTCTTGAGTCCCGCCAATTCGCCCATGAATGGAGAGCAACGAAACTTTTTTGGCTGAGAGCTCCGGTGCCAATAATGACCAGATTGGTGACATTTCAACCGTGAAGGTCATCGCGCATGCGCAGTGACATGTATACTGGGATATACAAAAATACTCAAAGCCTATAAAATCTGACTGAAAGGCAACCCATGAAAACTTCCATACAAACACCAAAGTGTATTTTTTCGTTTGTTTAGGGCGTAAAATGGCTAATAGTATTGACACGTTTAATTATCAACACCACTCGCCCTTAACTTCAGCTTCTTCTGCCCCTTGCCCACTGCTCTTAGGTCTTTAGTTGCCATTTCCTTTGAAGATATAGAACTTGTAGCACCTGTTGCGAATCGATAAACAGTGGAGGAAGACCTTGCAGCATTATCTGAAGCGGCATCTCTAAAAAAAATCGCCGTATGGTGTGTTTTAGAGAGGTGCTTACCTATGTCATTGTGCTTAGGGGTCGGATTCTAATTCATCGGGCGATTTATCAAACTTTGAGTGAGGATCTACGGTCATTGAGGTCGCCAACGATTCGAAGAATGTCAACGCTCAACCACAGAGCCATTTGAAGGCATAATGTTGTTTGTGAGCCACAAAAAATGGCTTTAACTAACCCAGCAACCATGTATACTACAGTATACATGACTAGTCCTAGGCACAGTCCGTTGTATACTGACGTTTACATTTCTCCGTCGTGCAGGATCCCGTTGGTCACTCGGGTGTACATTTATTTTTTCAGAGGTCAATTCCTCCGAATAATTGTAGTGCTACTTCTTAAGCACGTCTCAAAATTTTTCGGGCCAAGGACATTTGTATACCTTAGTATACATGAACTTTAATTCTTTCTGGAAAAGTTCCAAACACACAATTTTGTTTACAAAACCTGCAAGCAATGATCAACAACGAATGGTTATGTTAGCAAAACAACAGTTTTCGATGAGTCATACTCTTAAAAAGAAATAACAGGAAAATAATTAGGAGACGTATGTACCTCTATGCTGCGACCGCCGAGATACCGGGAAGATTGAAGCGCTGAGGCGTCAACAAATTCAACTTGAGGATATAAATTCAGCCACCAGGTGGCGGACCATGGCATGAAGAATGCAACGCATGGCTATGAAATAGCCTAGCCATTAGTGAATTCCGTAGAGATCGACTTAAGACGATGTATACTCCAGTATACAAAAAGAACCAAGAGGATATTGCTGCATATTCCCATTGAGGGGACAAGAATGAGCAAAATAGTGGTTCGGGCGCTTTTTAAAAATAGTACCGGACGCTGTTCCCCTTGTGACGTCATAGCTCCGTGACCTGACCTGACCCGGTCAAATTTCTTATACCATATGATAGCCAATACTTGCCCCAACATGCATGGGAAGTTTCATCACGATCCATCAACCGATGTCCGTACCACCGGCAGGAAACCTCGGGCGTTGGCACTCAGTTTGTGAAAATCCGGCCGGAGGCTGTACCTCTTATGACGTCATAACTCCGTGACCTGACATGACCCGATCAATTTTTTTCGGCAAAAGATGCGCAAAGGCTGCCCCAGAGGGTATTGAAAATTTCAGCCCGCTACGACAAGCTGTTTAGCGTGCACTTCGAAAAAACCTCAGGGGGGGTTGATACAACCCCCCCCCCTAGGCGTTCTAGGGTTAAGGTCAGGTCAGCAGGTCATGTCAAGGGACCTTACCTCAGAAAGGTTAGTAGGCATGCTCGCCATACAACGACCAACTGAACGATCGTTTTCAAACTTTCAGAGATTGATAAAGGTAACAGTGCGTTTAAAATATATACATGTCTTGGAAATAATTTTGATACCCCTGAGAGATCAATTTTGAGCCTTTTCCTTTATAGATCAATGGGATGAAATTGAAAGGCGTTTCTTTTGGACGACCGTCATTCATAACACTCTCAAGCATCTGGACCGGGTTACAGGTTTAAATGACACACTGAATCGGACAATTGCCCCCCTGACCCTTCATAATGTCCCCAAGGTCATATCAGGTGATGGAATGGCTCTAGAAGTTTTTTTTTGTTAACGATAACTTTTGATAGATGCATGCTAGAGCGATGAATACCTACATCTTAGATGTGTGTCTGGTCGACGATACGGATCGACTGATATGCAACATGATTTTTTGCGGTCAGCTTTTATGGTCAAATTATAGTTCTATCAACGCGGCTCGACGAGAGGAACACGATGCTGGACCTGGTAAAAGCAATGTCGTGCCTTGAAGGGGGTGTTCCAACACCCCCCCCCCCCCATCCCGGCTCGGCGCGGTTGGCGCCGAGCTGGCCCGGCACGGGCTAATATTTTACGTGATTTTGTAATTGCTAGGAAATATGTCTCCGAACTCTGATCGGGGCGCTTGCCTTCTCCCCCCAAAAAAAGACAGCATACCCATCAACTGCACCGTCAATGGTATGTCCATTGTCCAGTAAGTCCATTATCCAATCGAATAGCCGTTTCTCTGTCAACACTGCGTAGTCATGGCGCCGTCACGTGACATCGAGTCATTGACGCCGTGTGCGACCATGATTTGGTCACGTGACAGCCGATCAATGGTACCCTGTGAGACTAAGCCGAGATTTATGTGTGGCCCGGATGCCTGATTGCCATGAATTTGTGATGGGAGTACGCCGACCAGGCTGATGTCTCC